AGCAGGGGCACCGCACATATGAGAGTTCTGTGGCCAATCAGACTGGAAATTAGACACTTTTCATTGTCATTGTTTTAAAAGTAAAAAATAAAGGATGAGGCGCTAATAAATGTAGCAGTAATCATTACAAGACTTCAACTAGTGCGCCTTTCATACAGGACAGTTTAAATAGCTCCCCATTCCGCTAGCTGGGATGTTTTTTCATGAACCTGTTAAAGCTGCTGCGTTCTGAAAAGGTCCCAGAAGCCAAATTCTTAAACCTTCCGTACTTGTTCAAAATGCGAGCTACGGCGGGGAGAATCGTACCCCCCTCCCCCCCAACCCCCCTGTGTGGTGCGAGGGCCAACCGGAGATGCCGCTCACGTGCTCATGGCCGTCGGGCGCGACTTTCGCTGCAAACAGGTGGGCTGCTTTACTGGCGGCAGGCCAGATGGAGACGCTGCAGGCCAACGCGGTTTATGTAAGACTCAGAGAGGCGGCGTTTTATAACCTGCCAGAAATGATCCTGAGATCTGGGCTTCTGTTTACGCCAGCGCTGGCCGCCACCTGTTTGAGCAGCGGAGAAAGCGCACCATGCAATTATCCCTATGGCTGGCGGACCCAAGAGGGCCATAAAACAGCAACAAAAAAGAACTTGGGAGAAATTCTTGTGTGCAGAGGCACGTTTGGCCTGTCGTTTGCCCGAGGAGGACGAGGGTCTGCAGGAATCCCTTTGGGGTCTATAGCCCTCGGCTCTTTGACGAAAACCTGCCTTCTTTTACAAACTGTATGCCCAAGAACCCAGTTATTATCATTAGGGCCCCTGCAATTCATTTTGTCTAGGTCATGCTTCCTGAGAATCGGCCAATGCTGGGAATGACATAACATTATATATACGGGCTAAAAATACAGTTGATTGGTAGATATCAAATGTTTGTTATTGTTCATCACTGCACTCTTACTGATGCCCCAAAACACCCCCCCACCCCCGGTCCATGGTTTAGATATCGCTCAGGTTCCCATCACCCGCGTGCTGCTCCTGCTCACATGAGGTTCTGGAAGCCCAGCTTTCACGCTACTGCACACTCTTTCCTGTCTTTTTCCTCCAGCTTCTTACATAAGGAATTCTGATGTTAATATTGAGAATCACAATTTCATGTCCTTAAGCCACGCAGATCAGACTTTGGAGATGGAAGCTCTCACCCCACCAGCAGCAACGTGTAAATGGAGCCTTTGGGATGATTGGCAGGTGTTGGGGAGGCTAGCTTTTTACAACAGGGAGTAAAGCACACTTAAAGCGCGACAGGCTCCTCGCGTTTTTATCTCCCGCCATGCCGCCGCCTGTCCATGCAGCATCTGTTATTTTTACTTCCTGCCTTCAGGATTAGGGACCACCTATCGAGGCGCTCAGGACAGCCTCCCCCTGGTGCGGTGTGTCAGCTGATCCGTGGGTCGATCGCCCAGTCACACCCTTGCAGTAATGTGAACTAGAGAGATTTGGCCCACCTGTAAAGATTCCGCCGGCCTCTTTCAGGATGCCCTGGAGAGAAGAAGACAGAGTTTCTCACCAGCGTCCTGGACGCCCTGTCGACCGATATGGTGCACGCTGTTACCGACCCAGCTTCTGCGGCCAGGTACTGCCAATGCCTGAGCCACGAGGCACATCTTACTGGAGACCAAAGCTCAATGAGTAAAGCGCAATAACCCGACTGAAATATAGGAAGCATTCTGTGTGTCATAGCTTGACTCTGCCAATTAACTCCCAAATCTTACGGCACAAATCGCAGTATAGAAATGTGTATATTACATTATTCATTCATGGCATGATGACCTGACACTGTTTTGTGTGTGGAGTATTTATCCACTTCATATGACTCGGTTCCTAAGTCCTTCACAACGTGTAGCGATTCACAGCCATCCTTCACTGACCCCTGGCTTGGCAGGATGCTGGAGCCCGACCCCAGCCACACACTGGAGGAGAGGGTTGTGCACTGGTATTTCAGTCAGCTGGACAAGAATGCCAGCGGTGACATCGGCAAGAAGGAGATCAAGCCCTTCAAGCGCTTCCTCCGCAAGAAGTCCAAGCCCAAGAAGTGCGTCAAGAAGTTCGTGGAGTACTGCGACATCAGCAACGACAAGTCTCTCTCCCTGCAGGAGCTGATGGGATGCCTGGGCGTTACGAAGGAGGACGGTGAGCATCAGGGGGATGGGAAACGGGGGCTAGCTACAGCGATCGCACAACAAGCCTGCAAAACACATGGAATGTGTGTTAGGAAACGTCACTGACATTTACAATCAATAACCACTTACAGGTTAAAAGGTTAAAACATCTATTTTTTTTTCTGCACATCAATTCCGCCTAATACTTGCTAGTACTTTGTACTTGCATATACCCTTTAAATGATGTTGAATAACGACTTACAAACATTTCAAGTTACAAACGACTGTTCGGAACATAACTCATTCATAAGTAGAGGAGTGTCTGTAATTTGTTTTTTTTTTTCAGTTTGCATTTATGTTTGGTTAATATTCCCCAAATAATGAAAGACTTGATATCAGATAAAAGATAGAATCTTAAAGATAGAGTTGTCTATTAATAAAAATATTAATAGACAACTTTAAACAAGTTATAACACAGTTTTTTTTATTATTAATGAGTTACTACCATTTACAAGTGGCAAAAGGGAGCCTTATTGTAAAGTGGCACCTTTTATTCTTATTCGTATTAACAACAATAATGATGATGACAGGGGCGGATTAACGCACAGGCTAGATATGGCTTAAGCCTAGGGGCCCCACGTGTGCCAGCCTGCAAGGGGGCCCCCAATGGCGCGGAGCGGGGCTTGGTTGGGGGGCCCACAGACTACTGTAGCCTAGGGGCCTCTGTACACCTTAATCCGCCCCTGGATGATGATGATGATGATGATGATGATGATGATGATGATAAGCTGCCATGAATGTTTATTCTCCAATTTTCCTAGGAGCAAAGGCAAGTGAAAGCACAATTTCCAATAAACAGGTGAACAGTTACTTTTCTTGTTGATTTTCCCTGATTGATCACTGAAGACTGATCAAGAGTCATATCACCATGTTTAGAGAACAGAAATGTATTTTTCTCAGCATCATCTGATCTGGCAGCACAGTGACACACTGCATTTTGCACAAATATACAGACCCAATGTCACATGACCCTGACATTCACATGAAAGGTTGTTTTAATGTTCATGTGCATAGAAAGGGCACTCATGGCTATGGGGATATGATGTAATGCAAGTATGCGGTTTCTATATTTTTGTTCCTTTCTGTGTTTCAGAACCCAGTAAAGAAGCAAGGCTAGAGTGAAACAGGGCACACAAAATAGGAAGGCCAGAGATTCTCCCCCACCAAACGGCAATGGAAACCATAGTATTTGCACTTTGTACTTTAAAATGTAAATTCACTTTGTAGAGATGAGGTATTTAAACAGACTGCTGAATCTGTGAATGACTTAGTTAGCTTTTTTATGTCTTTAAAGAAATAATTTAACACATACAATGTATGTGTCCTTCATGTCTAAAGGTATACTTTTCTGAGTTGTACAAGTTTTCATGTATTTTTGTTGCATTTTATGTTTTTGTTTTTTAATTGTTGGTATTTTATAGCTGATGTACGGATAGTTTGTTAAAGCAAATAATTAGAGCCTTTGTATCTTGTATGTACTGAACTAGCGACCAAACATTTTCAGAGCTCTGTAAAGTAGTTTTTAAGTATCTTAAACCAGAATTGTTGCAAAATAAATGTTCTTGAGATGGATCTGCATAACTAGTTAATAAATAACTGTTTTTTTTACATTTCTTGTGTATATAAAAGTTTTCTTTTCATCTTGGAAGAATTGCTAACACGAAAATGACAAGAAAACGCTGAGGGTCCATAAACAGGTGTTTCTTTATGATTGATGTTCTCTCTTTTATTTGACTTATTAATTCTTTTACTGTCCCTTTAGGGCTCTTTTTTCCTTCCTTTTTATAAATTTTGCATTTTTCTCTGACCTGAGTAACACACTCTCTGAAGATTAAGATATTAGTCATGCCTAGCAAAGGTTTTGTAACCTGTCAGTCAGACATGATGCCAATAGTTCCCCCGGCCATATTTTATACGATCACAGCAAAGCGGTCTCAATGCTAATTTGTCTTTAGTATTTGGCTCCTAATTCCTTTGGAAGAATGAAGACAGATGGATGGCTGAACATAGTGTGTCTTGGAGGGTTTTGGGGCATGGCTGTGGGCGGGGCTTGGTGAGACAGGGATGGTGGGCGGGGCTGGGGGGGGGGCAGAGAGGTACGGGCTGATTCCCTGAGTCCGGCTCTGCTGTGGTGGTCTCCCTCAACAGTGAACAGGTGGCACTTTTGGTATTTTCCCCGTGGGGGACAAGCCCTTCCCTGCACAGGACAGCCAGACCACCCCAAGTTTACATGATCTCTCTGTCCTTCTCAGGGGAACTTTTCAGCATAGATTTTATGTGCTTTTTTGTAGATTAATACAAATGGCTCTTCATCGACCCAGGATGCACTAAAAGAGAAAGACAGACTACAACAGGGTTATGATTGTTAACTGGTGTGCTGTGCACCAGACAGTCAGCACTCTTGTCAGATACAACCTGGTCTACTAAGATATTTACTTATTATTAGGATTAGTCATTGTGAAATAGTTTCTTTAGCAACAATAAAAATATATTCTTTACGTAAATTCCATAAAAATTAAATCAAATCCAATGAAAAAATCCAGCAACAATGTAAACAGTAATTAATAAAATTGTATATATTTGAAATATATTCTGGGAAGCAGACTTACATAAAAAACACAGACTTATTCACTCACCATGACCCTGCCGTAGATAAGCAGTGATGGAGCATGTTGACACTGCTGAGATTAAAGTTATGATGTTTGGTCGGAGAGGTACCGTATTTCCCTTTACTTACCACATTACCGGAATTATTCTTGAACATGTTACTGCTTATAAATACTTAGGCATTTGTACAGTTCATTGGCCTTCTCTCACCATATCACCATGTTGCAGTCTAAGATGAAGGCAAAACTTGGCTTTTTATATGGAAACTGGTCCTTTGCTGCCAAATATATGCTTGTTCAGATGGCCATACTTCCCTTGATTATGGGGACACAATGGCTGGCAAAGGAACACTTAGGAAACCTGATGTAATCTATCATTCTGTAATCTGTTTTGTTACAAATGCCTCCTGTACACTTTGGTCAAACGGCCCTCTTTGCAGACTCGTCGTAACATTCATTGGTTTACGCTAAAACTCATCTTAGCTATTTACCCCGTTACCTAACTCAGTTATTACAGATAAATCTCATTGTCTTCCTCTTATATTAGAATTGAGCCTCATAAACCCACTTTCAATCTGCTGCTGCCAATGACTAGAATTCATTACAGAATTCTTTGAAACTGGATAAATCTATATCTGTCAAGGCCTTAAGATTCTTACTTATGGACATTTTTAATGATTCTTGTAAATGTCATCATTCCGATTAATCATTCTGTTATGGGTTTTCTTTTATTTTTCTTTATTTATTATTATTATTACCTCATTTTTAAGTTTTCATTTTGTTCTACAAATGCTTTTTGTCACTTGTCGGGCTGCCATTATAAATAAGAAACTGTTCTGAATGCTTTGCTTGGTTAAATAAAGGTTAATGAATGAATGAATGAATGAATGAATGAATGAATGAATTAAAAAATGAGTATGATGTATGGATGCATGAATGGACGGACATTATCTGGTAGGAGCATGATCACTTCATACTGTTTAGCTAGTTAGTAGTTTAAAATAATGTCGAATGTAATAGAGGGAAAAATTACTTTCAGGAAGGTCTTGTGTTGATGGTCTTCATTTATCACAAGGATCGGGAGGTTGGGATCACAGACTGACGGTTTTATTTACACTTGGAGTGTAATTTACAACCAGCAGATTGGTCTGAGTTTCTTTTTCATCCAGTCCCTGGTCTGGTTTTACACATGAAGGAGAGGTTATCCATTTAGATTTCAAAGACAGAGTCTAAAGGGTGTCCCCGCGGCCCGATTGTCTACAAATCACCATATGATGATCCAGAATGCATGCATGATGTTAAGTTTTCGCGACAGCTGTTAACTTTCCCATACTTTGATCCTGGAATCATGGTGAAATGAATGACAGAAGCAGAAAAGCACAAACCTGAGTAAGTGGGATGTTAATGGCTGGTAAGTTGGAAAGCCTCAGACAGGAGCCGGTGGACCTTCAAGAGACGCAAAGACGGACAGGCGTTGGTTGCAGCAGCAATATAAACCAGAGAACCAGAGCCAGAGTCAGGCACCAAACTGGAAGTTTATATTCCATAATGAAGACCCGTTTTCTGGATCCTGTGAGTTATTCCTGTTGATGAGAGAAACACTTATTGTGAGTGAGGAATCACTAATACATTTCTATCCATTACTGAATGCATATTTTTGGAGGAGTGTTTTTACCTGCCCTGTTGCATTTCCAGAATGGTCACTGAGCATTCAATCTCTCGCTATAAGTCAACAGATCAAGAAATCAGAGCGATGAGTACAAACCACACATGCTGTAGATCTTTAGATACTGAATATGGCCATCAAAACAGCATTACTACACTTACCTGCCTGGACCATCAAATGCATCATTTTATTACGATACAATAAAATTAAGGACAATGTGTAGTCAACTAATCCTAAAAACTTTCATAATTTTTTGTCATGCTGTGTTACGCTTACAGCTGTGTTCATATCGAAAAATAAAGTAAAAAAAAATATTGCCACACCACACAGCAAAGTGAATTAAAGAGTGAGCATATGCAGGTATGGAGGAAATGTTTCAACTGTTTTTATTGGGCATTTTATACTAACCAGCCGCTTGGCAAGTTCTAACAATGCAATGGGTGGGGAAAAAAAAACACTTTTGCAGTTTTGACACAAAAAACACAGAGTAACCAATACATGCTGTCCCCCCACCCTCCCAGTTCACAAGAGCTGCTGAAAGACTCTGAACTGGTCTCACCTGAGCATGTTTGGTCTTAACGAGCCTGAACTCGGGTGTGTGTGGGTTTCGGCATTCCTATAGGTGGCCTGGCACACTGCCTAGCAAAAGTACTCAACACAATGCACCAAAAACAATAGTGCCCCTTCACAATTAGAGAGCTTTGTCTGCCAAACAGGCATGTCCTCACAAAAAGGAGTCTGCAGTTATTTACCAATAAAGTCATTTGGTTTGAGAGCTGGCTGACTGAGCCTGTATATACCAGTAGAAGTGGAAATGTTTTCTTTTATATTTGTGTGAGCTTTGAAAACAAGCAAGGTGAAAAATACTAAGCAACAACAAGGAATGGTGTATGGCTGGAATCAGACTGCATCACCATATTGACTGATTACCAGGCCTTTTACCTAGAAATACCACAAGTGATGAACTGCACTTCCCATGATTTAGTCACTGTTAGGGTTTAAATGGGGTTAGCTGGATATGTGTGGCTCACAAAAGCTGGTCTGAGATTTTTGTAGGGTAGAAAGAGGGCATTATATTCACCCACAGTAGTAGATGCTTAGCTTCTTTAATATCTGGCTGTTTTGCTGTCATAATGTCACAATCCATTTAAAGCTTCAAAACCTCTTGGTCAGTGAGACCCTGCTCTTGTGCCTTTGAGTTGGGCCTCTGGCCCAGTACCTTCATCATGGTGACCAGCCGTAAGGAAAGCCAAGGCCAAAGCAGCAGTAGCTCTCTTCTAGCGCTTCTATATACTCTAGTCAAGAGCATGCTGAGATATTCAGCCTTCCAGCCTAGATTTGCACCTACCTGCCCCCCCCCCCATATATGATTTCTAATTTGAAGATCTCCATAACAAACATTTTCATACTTGATACACACAGACATTTAAGAACGAAATACGGTAGGCTCTTTTTTCGTTATGTATCCCTCCAGGCCTCCTTCCAACAGGGAATTAAGTTCTATTAAAAACAGTGCATCTATGGGCTCTTGGCATTGCAGGCCTATGCACCTGGATCTCCTAATGGCAGCCTTTGCAATCTTTCCCCACCGAGCACAGAGATGCCATTGAGCGACACTCACTGGGCCTAGTTGTGTGTTAATAGCTGAAAGGCCCAGCACTTGGCACCCCAGGACCCATGCACAAAATTTACTGTCCAAAGTCCTCACACTTTTAATGGCCACTTGCTTTCCAGTGCCTCTGTGCTCTGGGTAAACATCACTTGAATGGTGAGGTGCTGGGAAACTTTATTTTGTTTTTAAGGTAGCCCCCAAGCAGTCAGGACGTGCTGTGTCTTTACATTCACTGTCAATTAACAGGCAGCGTTTTTTGGGAGAAGTCTTAAGGATGAGTGGACTTTACAGTGAATGCAGAGTGAATGCAATGTCTACAGAACCTCTTTTCTGGTTCATTGCTGGCATGAAAAAAAATCAGAGCTAGGCTCTGAAGTAATTAAAATCAGCTGAAGTTGTTGACTTGACTTATTAAACATTAAAATCTATATCTTTTCAGACTGCAGGCCAAAAAACGGAATTCCTGTTTCCGTAAAAGAGTCATGCACCAATGGGGTCTTCATTACACTGGCTCGGCACTGAGTCGCTCTTTGTTCTGTTAGCGCAGTCTGGTACGAATGGAATCTTTTTTTCTTTTTTTTTGCATAAGTCTGGTAAAGATGGAATCTTGGTTCAGTTACACATGTCTGGTACTGAGGTACCCTTTGTTCTAGTACACAAGCCTTTGCCCAGACTGAATATTGTTTTTATTACCATGCAGGTAACATGGTGGCTCAGGACACTGAT